CAGGAAGATATTGATAAAATACTCGAGTATACAAAAGGCTTTGACTTTAATTATTTATTGACACCAAATGGACAGGTTGTAAAGTTAAACCAAATATTCAATTGGTTTGTTAATAATGACGAGCAATTAAAACTTATTAGGATTGATCAAATCACACCGTTATATAAAATCCTAGATTATAAATTGCAGAATGAAATAGAAATGATTTTAGAAAACCGTTTAGATTATAGAATCTTATTAACAGGCGTAAAAACTTTTGATGTGGATGTCAATTATACAGAGGCCTATGTTCGAATTAATTTTGATAAAAATTCAGTACTAGACAGTAGATCTTATGATGTATTTGGCCTTGTTTTTGACAATAAAGATGTCAGGTCGGAAATATATGCAATAAAATTTGATCTATTCGATTGCTATGGATTTTCTGCATTTGTTACATTTAAAGATAATACAGCAAAGAATGTTAAGGGATGGTTGGTATTTAATCAAATTAAAGATTCAAGACCTTGTTTTCTTCAATATTACTTCACTTTTATTTACTTCTTTTAATCTTTCAATACATTATCACTCTTTCAGGTATATAATCTGGATGGTTGTTGGGAAACCTTGTTTGGTGGGAGCTTTCAGCGCAAATCATCGAGAAACCAATATCGCTTTTCATAAAGCACTTGTTGACTCAACAATGTGTTTTGAAAATATCATATACATATCTTTACCGTTTACGTTGGTCAAAAATTGTATTGTTTTATTTTCTGCATCATATTCATCTAACAACCCACCAAAACAGAACTTAAAATTACTTGGATGGTCCAAAGATGGTTTGAAACTGAAGATTATGATATTTGATAAAGATCAACCTCAACCTTCACCATTCTATCTTAAGATTTGCATTATTTATCCCTGTGAAATGATAATTTTTAATGTAGATATTGGAGAAAAGCTAGTTACATATGATTTATTTGGACAAAACCTTGATATCAAAGATTATGATCAGACCATCGACTTTAATTGTTATAAAAATATTTATTTAAAATATTTAGATGTAGAAAATATAGAATTTCCTGTAAAGCACACCAAATATTTATGCTCTAGTGATTTTGGTTATTGGACAATTGCAATTTCAGGAATTGATAATTCACAATTAGCAATTAAACATATTATCAAAAAAAGATTACCAGATTTAATTCAAAGGAACAATAGTGATATCCCATTTGAGGCATATTTCATACAAGAAGTTGATCATGATAATTTAGTAAAATATATAAATATTTTAGAAACTGAAACTACTTTTATTTTGATAACTGAATTGGTTTCTAGTATCCAATTAACAAATTGGAAAACTCTTCATGATTATCTTAAACATAATGGTGCTCTTTCTGAAAATCAAGCAAAAAATATATTCAAACAAGTTATTGAATGTATTTATTTCATATATAAGCATGGATTCTTTAATATAAACATAAGTGATAAGAATATTTTTATTTCAGAATCTCAGGTAAAAACTATACAGTTAATGTTTCTACATAATGAGGTTGTCATTTATTAACTTATTGTAGATTAAACTTTTCAATTTCGAGCGTCTTGTGTCTGATGATTTAAATGAAGATTTAGTATACGATATCCAATACGAGAACGATTATAGTATTTCATGTAAGTTGTCTTAATTGAATTTCATTACTATTCTTTAAATATTAATCTATTTTTGTTTAATATAGATGCTTCACCAGAAATGATCACTGGACATAATTATAATCCAGAATTTTCTGATCTTTGGTCTTTAGGTATTCTACTTTATACTATGATTCATGCTTATGTGCCTTTTAAAAAACCATTTGATACAATAGCAAGTACGTTAGTGCTACATAAAGTGGTCAGTGAAGGATGCACATCTATTATACATCGTTTGCTTGCAAAGAAACCTCATTTGAGAGGGTCGTTTAAATATTTGTTAAATGACCCTTGGATAGGTATAAAAACCTTTTCAAAGAGTAAATTTTTAAATAAGTTAAAAGGAAATGTTAATGAAAGTATAGCTATTGAAAAAACCTCACACAATAAAATTATGCAAGAGCTGTGTGATTTGATAGAAGAAAGTCAGATTGGCACTATTGGACCTTCGTTACCACTCCGGTGGATTCAAGTTAATTCTTTGAACGATATTAAATTAATTGGAAAAGGAGGATTTGGTTCAGTATTCTCAGCTATATGGACAAATAAATCAACAATCACACAAACTTCAAATAAACTCCACTTTTATCATCAGAGGACATCAACTAAGGTGGCTTTGAAAGAATGTTCTAACGCGCATGAAAATGATGGCATGGAAAACTTTTTGAGAGAGGTAAAAGTTTTTTAAGTTTTTTTTTAATTTTTTTTATTATCATTATTTTTTTAATTTTTTATTCCATTATTTTTTTAACAAATCGAACTTCCATAGATGAAAAACCACACAAAAATAAATGGCTTATGGGGAATAATAGATTTCTATGGTATAGCTTGTGGTCACAAGCCTGATGACTTAAAAATGGTTTTGCATTATGCTGATAAATCTGATCTTAACGAATATCTTGCTAGGAATTTCATTTCAATTACATGGAAAGAAAAATTATCAATCATTCTGGATATTGCAGTTGGTTTATATCAAATACATAAGATAGGTATAATTCATAGGGATATTCACCCTGGTAATATTTTTCTAGATTCATCTATTTCATGTATTGGTGATTTTGGGTTAAGCCAGGAAGCGGATATCTTAACAGATAACAACAGAAAGTTGTTCGGCGTACAACCATACATGGCACCTGAAGTATTGAAGGAAGGCAAATATTCTTACGCATCAGACATCTATGCATTTGGAATAATATTAATTAAGATTGCAACAGGCAAACATATGCATGGTAGTAAAAGCAATAACAAGCCTTCTTTTGATGAGTCAATACCATTATTTTATCAAACTATGATTCATTCATGTTGTGATAAGGAACCTTCCAATCGTCCAAATGCACAAACATTGGCAAATGAAATCATTGATTGGAAACTTAATAAAATGCATCAATTTAATGACAAAAAAGTACTTATATCTTATATGACTGAAGAAACAGGTGAAAAGTCACAAAGCGATATAGCACCAGATCCAGGTATTGATTTAATATATACGCTAGTATCATTGGTTTTATCTACCCAGGAATAATCACAATTAACGTTTATAGAAAATGATGAAAATGACGATATTTACTCCAAAGTTGAAAATGATGGCATGAAATGTAAGGAGCTTTGAAATTAATACTTAATATTAATTGCAATTATTAACACTATTAATCAATAATAAAGCAAATGTAGTTGTCGAATATCTTAAGAAGGCCGCTGATGGAGATCCAGAAGCCATGAAGAATGTTGCTATTTGCTTCCTTACGGGAACTGGTGTTGAAAAAAATATGAATGCAGCGTTCAGCTGGTGTATGAAATGCTTTAACAATAAGATAAAATTTACACATGAAGAACTAATTCCATTGGTTGAACATGTTTCACAAGACTTCCCAGATTTGGGAAGAAAAATTAAATATGGAATGATGTTACAATGCGGGTTAGGCGTTGACAAGGATCTTACTAAGGCGTATTTAATATACAAAAGTGCAGCAGAATCTGGAGATGCGCGTGCGCAATTCAAAACGGGTAGATTTTGTGAAGAAGGGTGGGGTCGAGAAAAAAATTTAAGAGAAGCTTTCAGTTGGTTCAAGAAGGCAATTGAACAAAATAATCCCGAAGCATGGAATCATCTTAATAAATGTTATATGACATCTTTTAAATTACAAGGAAAAGGGATCACGAAATTCTATACTGCTCATTATAATAAGTTCAAAGTTACGGGGATGATTACAGCGCAGTTCGATGAAAATGTAAGTTGCATTAAAATTTTGCGCATGTTTACATAAGCTATATTTAATTTACGATAACTTTTATTAAATTTTAAAAAAGTTTTAGTATGCTCAATTTTTATAAAAGAAAAATTAAATTAAGGTTAAGTTTGGGTAGTGCATAATCTATACTAAAATTTGCTATTATTATTAGGATTTTGTTAAACATCGCAAGTTGCGATATCGCAGTTTAATATTTAAAAAAAAATTAAAATTCGGATTAGTTAAGGTTAGGGTTCGAGCTAGTATTAGGGTTAGGGTTAGAGAGCATATATATATGCAAAATTAAGAGCTGAAAACTTTTAATTAGAAGCCCACGACTAGTTTACATAATAAAATTTTAAAATATTTAAAATATTTAATTTTATTCTAATTTTTGTTCATTTTTGTTACACAAGATCCTGTAATCTAATTGGTCGGTCATATTAAACTGCGATATCGCAACCTGCGATATTTAGCAAAATCCTATTATTATTATTGTTGCAATAATTGAATAAAAACAATGGGTTTTCAAAATTAAAATCAGAAAATCTATTAAAAAATCTATTTAATTTTAAAATAGCTACTTATTTATTAATTTTGAAACCCTAATTTTTAGAATGCATTCTTATTAGGCATGTTGTATTGCTTGACCAAACTCAGTTCGTCAATGTTTGAAACCCGAACTAGTTTTGTAGTTGCATTATTTTAATTAAGTTATTCAAAATTCATAACTAATCGTGTTCAAATTAAGTTCGAAATTACAGTAATTTTTTGATCAAAAGCTTCGTGATTTTAACTTTTTTTTTAATGATGCATATTTTGCTTTTTTTTTTTTTTTTTAATTATGATATAAATATGTGGTTCTTTTATTATTATTTTTTTTTCATTGCTGTTATACAGCATGATGGATGAACTAATACGTTATTCTGAACTTGCATGAATGACCTGAGACTAGTTGGTCATTAAGCCACAAAATCAGTTATTTGAGGAGAACATGGTATTGTGTGAATTTAATAAAATATTCTCTGTAATTGCGAAATTATGACTGTATTTTAATAAAGAGCAATGTTTATAAATATCGTATATTAATAGTGATAGCATATAAGCTTACTAGCACATATGTACAAGCATAATTTGAGACTCGGTTTATTCATATGCTTTTAAACAGTGTTCAACCGGGTTTCAAAGCACAAACTAACTAGTTAAGCAAAATAACATCCCTGATTCTTATTACCATATGTTCAAAAAGAAATTGAATATTTTAACAATTCATTTTATATCATTTTTGAAAGTATTATAATATCAGATATTAATAAGTTTAAAGCAATGAATAGTTAAATAATTTTATAATCATGAAATATAAAATATAAAATTATTTTTAAATAACATTTGTTATTAAAAAAAAAAAAAAAAAAAAAACTATAAATTCGATCATACTATTTTTTTATAAGATAGTTTTATAAACTAGAAAGCCTATTTGAAAATCTTCAGTGTAATTTACAAGCATCTGAACTTAGACTAGATACTGTACAAACACATGTATATCAAATGATTTTCTGCTTTTTAACAACTTCGGGATTAAAAACTGAAGCAAAACAGTGGTCATGAAGCCTTCTATTAAGAGCATTTTTGCATTTAGGTTGTTCAAGAATAAAGCGCTCGAATTTTTTAGCAATAAATTCTGGAAAGCATTGCTGACATTCATTTTTGTTATCTGCATACAGGCTTACAAATTCTGGTAATTTATTACCATCATTATCAGTTTCCTGCTTTTTATTCTTGTTCTTTTTGAAATTAGATAAAAGGTTTTTTTTTTCAGATGATTTTCGGTCTATTTTGAATTGATCAAATATTTCGGAAATTGGATGTTCAACAAAGAACAATATATTAAATTCAAAATTTGGCAAAATTGAATAATTCTTTTCGTCTAAATCATATCCATAAAGACATGTAAAAGTTTTCTTTTCGGTTTTACAAAGACTAAAATGATGACCAATGACCAAACGCTCGCAACCAGGGCTCCAGTCAAATACTACAGGGGCACCACATGCTACCAAAAGATTGTCCTCAGATATTTTGAATATATGTTTCTCGTTCGAGTTGTTCGATAATGTATGTATTTTTTTCTTAGTGCTTTGAAGATGAATGTCAAAACTCGAGAGAACAGAATTAAAGCTTGTGTTATACCCAACAATTATCCAGCCTATCTTAATATGGCATTTTTTTTGTCGCTCATAATTGGATTGAATGCAATTAATGATAATTTTTGGGATATAGAAAGGTTCTGGAGTATACAATGTGTAAGTGAATATATCGTTATTTTCATCCAAGTTAAGAATCGTTGCAAAAACTTGAGAATCAATATCAGAATCTGAGAAAACTTTTTCCATATCTCTGGGCATTTTTAACTCGGCTATGTGGTTACGTAAATTATTAATTTTAAAACTATAATCTTGAACGTTAGAATAAATAATTCTTTTTCCAATAATTTCCTTTATTTCTTTCTTCAAATTCTTATTTAAGAATTCAAAGATGCTTACAGGTTTACGAAATTCGATTGGCTCCCAATAACTAAAGTCTTGTAAAGAAGTTACCCATTCTTCTTCTTTACTTTCATATATTTTTGTCTTGTCTCCTCCGAAAATGGTTGAATCTTCGCGTTGCATTATATTTTCGCTTCCACTAGCTACATTGGATTTATATTGAGACTCTAAGCCTTGCCCATAAACACTGAGGTTTGCCGAACCTTCTTTATTATCATTTGCTGAATTTTTTGTAGTGCGTGTTATATCCTTATAATGAAGCCTTCCTCCAAATCGAACAATAGTAGGAATAAATTGACCAAACTCTACTATAATTTTATTAATCTTTTTTGGATCTCGTGAATCAATTGCTTCTTGCACTGCATTTTGGAATTCCGTCGTGGGTTTAATATCTTGTTCTCGAATGGAAATTTCAGCCTTGCCGAAATTTTTAAACTGGACAATTGATGATGTTCCGGAATGATCCTGTGAAATCTTTTCTGATCCAATTGAAAAACCTAATTTTGCGTATTGCATTTCTGTCTGAGCTTTTAACAATAAACTTTTATTTCGAATTAATTCATCAGTGGAAGAGATCGTTATCTTGTCATAATAATATTCATCTGAAGTAAATATATCAAATTCGCAATCATTAATAATGAAAGCCTTCTTATCGGCCACTTTATCTTTACTTTCATCATAATTGCGCCCATATCCAAGTTTAAATTTCTTTTCTAATTCACGCCAATTTGGTCTTTTTTTGAGATGAATTTTAGTTTTATCTAAAATTTCTTCTAACCTAAATTTTTCT